TCTTGCTCAGGCTGGTCTCGAACTCCTGATCTTGAGCGATCCACCCGCCTCGGCCTTCCAGAGTGCTAGGATTACAGGTGTGAGCCACCGCGCCCAGCCAAAAAGTCTTTGAAAATTTAAAAGTTTATAAAGTAAAAAAGTTACAGTAAACTAAGGTTAATTTATTATTAAAGAAAGAAAAAAATTTTTAATAAATTCAGTTAGCCTAAGTATACAGTGTTTATAAAGTCTATAGTAGTGTAATATCCTAGGCCTTCACATTTCCTCACCACTCACTCACTGACTCACCCAGAGCAACTTCCAGTCCTGCAAGCTCCATTCGTTTTAAGTGCCCTATATAGGTGTACCATTTTTCATCTTTTATATTCTATTTTTACTGTACCTTTTCTACGTTTAGCTATGTTTAGATATACAAATACTTGCCGATGTGTTACAATCGCCTATAGTATTAGCACAATAACATGCTGTACGGTGTGCAGCCTAGGAGCAATAGGCTACACTGCATAGCCTAGGTGTGTAGCAGGCAGTACCATCTACGTTTGTGTAAGTACTCGCTATGATGTTCACAGTATCACGAAACTGCCTAACTGCATTTTTCAGAATGTAGCCCTGCTGTTAAGCAACATGTGACTATATATGATTTAGAATTCTTCTGTAAGGACAATTTGTCCTTCTTGCCCCTTCATTTATTTATTTATTCAATCACATATTTATATCGCTATGGACTCGTGAATATCTATTTTGTTCTTCGGATTACAATCCAATACTGTCATTATTTATTTGGTTGTTCAAATTGTTCCGGTTTTGCTCATTGGGAGCTTTTTCAGGTTAGTTGCAAAGTCCTTTGGACAATGCTCCCATCCATTTTTTTCCAGCACTTCCTTACTTTCTAGTATTACAAGATGCTCCAGGTTCATCTACCCCCAGCATCCTCAGCCTTAGAAACTGCCACTTCTCCAAAGGTAGCCCTGGTTCCTTTTCTTGGAGAATGGTATTTAGAAACCAAGATCTGGGTGCTGGATATGCTTGTTGTACTATGGTGTCACTGTCTCTGGGTCCTCCTATTGGACAAAGCTAGGTGATCTATATATGTGTGAGTGTACTAATCTATGTGTACACATATGTCTATAATTAGCTTTCTATCTCTGCATGCATGTTTGTACATATGTATACAGAGAGAGACTAAAATAAACATTAATTCATACTAATATCTCCAATTACAATTCATACTACACTGTTCCTATTTCTCCACCTTTTAGCTCATCATTTCTATTCCTAACATTTCTCAGCTACTAATCATGGATATTCTATGTAAAACAACAGCAATAGATTACAAGAGAACACTTTATCTTTTGTTTTCTGTTCCCTGCCTTTTTGATCACTATTTCTGGTAACCATTCATTCATTCATTCTTTAGTAGAGCTGGGGTCTCTTTAGGTTGCCCAGGCTGGACTCGAACTCTTGAGCTCAAGTGATCTTCTTGCCTCAGCCTCCCTAGTAACTGGGACTACAGACATGCACCACCACATCAGCTTTCTGATAATTATTGACTGCAATGGTGATAATACGAGTTACCACAGGGATAACTGGCTTGTGGAAAAAAATAAAGTAAAATAAAAATTAAAAAATGATAATATGTATGTGCAAATTATAATAGCAAAAAAAATCAAGGTTTAGCAATTTATCCAACTTTATACAATTTTAACTTGAAAGTTAAAGAACGATTGAAACAGTTCAGCAAATAGTGCCCCCACCCCAACACGACGGGGAGGAGGCAGGTGGCCAATAGAACAGTGTGAGGCTGAAAGCTAGAGGTCGGCGTCTGTTGCTGTAAAGGGCTAGATGGTCGATATTTTAGGCTTTGCAGGCCTTGTTATCCCCGATCTAAGTGATCTGGGGGAAATACACAGAAGTACTGTGGTTTGGTGTCACTGCTGCTATCAGTAATGAGGATAATGAGGGAAATGATATTTATAGCATTTATTGAAGGCTTACCCTGTGCTAGGTACTAAGTATTTTTACTTTTATTAACTCAGTTAATTCTCACAATAGCCTCGAGAGATGTACAATGTACACAGTGAAATCAGGGCACTGGGATTCAAACCCCTATTAAAACTGTCTTCATTCTTTGTCATTTCCAAAGCTCTGAATTAAACTGTGTCAGACTACTAGTCAGTCTGCTTTTCCTGGCAGATAGGTATAAACATGCAACTAAATTCCAGACAACAGGACTAAGCAGAACTGATGTGTGCTACCTCTAGAATTTTTCTATAAGAGGATGGGGCATTTGCTTTCCTGAATGTCTGTCCCCTTCCCACTGGCCAGGAAAGATCTTAAACTGGAGCAGCCACTTTAGACCCTGGGGTGGAAGCCACATGTTGAGAACAGCAAGATAAATCCATCAGTCAACCCCAGACAGCCTACCTCTGAACTGTTGATGATAAACTCATTTCTCTCTTGTTTAAATGACTATATTTTAGAGTTGTTTGTTACAATAGCTTAGCCTGTATCCTAACTGAAACATATTAAATACATACCTTTTATACCTGTCAGAATAGGCAAACTTTAAAATTACGTGATGTATAACACATACCTCAGGAGAAACATGAGAGGCAAAAAAGTCTTCCTCCTTTGGTGGAGGGGACGAAGGCGGAACCACACAACTATCAAGCCACAGCTAGAACAAACACACAAAACGGGGCTTAGCATTTCATCTGGGAAAGGATTTTATTTCATACTCTTCACTCCTCTTCTAGAGACTGTTTTCTAAAGATTGGTGCTTTCCATTATTATAAAATCAGTAACATGCCTACAGAGCCCTCCAAGTACATTTTAGTAATGTATCAAACCAGTAAATTTTGCTTCCAGACCTTGAGGAAGTCAAGTACCCCAACTCCACAAACCATTTCTGAAAAGGAAAGATCAAAGGTTTCATACCTTTTTTTTCTTTTTTCCTTTGCTCTGTTGCCCAGCTAGAATGCAGTGGCAACGATCATAGCTCACTGCAGCCTTGAACTCCTGGGCTTAAGCGATCCTCTGCCTCAGCCTCCCAAGTAGCTAGGACTCCAGGTGGGTGCCACTGTGTCTAGCTAATTTTTTAAATCTTTTGTAGAGATGGGTCTCACTATGTTGCCCAGACTGGTCTCAAGTGATCCTCCTGCCTTGGCCTCCCAGATTGCTGGGATTATAGGTGTGAGCCACCACACCCAGTTGGCTTTCATATCTAAGTGCAGGTTCCAAATGACTGTCAATCCTCATTGTTCATGGATTTCATATTTATGAATTCACCTACTTGCTAAAATTTATTTGTAACCCCAAAATAAGTACTCATGGTGCTTGGTTTTTTTTTTGAGACAGAGTCTCACTCTGTTGCCTGGGCTAGAGTACTGTGGCGTCAGCCTAGCTCACAGCAACCTCGAACTCCTGGGCTCAAGCAATCCTTCTGCCTCAGCCTCCCGAGTGGCTGGGACTACAGGCATGCACCACTATGCCCGGCTAATTTTTTCTATATATTTTTAGTTGTCCAGCTAATTTCTTTCTATTTTTAGTAAAGATGGGGGTCTCACTCTTGCTCTGTGCTGGTCTTGAATCCCTGAGCTCAAGCGATCCTCCCACCTTGGCCTCCCAGAGTGGGAGATTACAGGTATGAGCCACCGCGCCCGCCCAAGTACTCATGGTGTTTTCAGTCATTTGAAGACAGGCACAGAGCAGCAAAAAATGAGTCACCTGATAAGCACGTTCCCCGCTGAGGTAACACAAAGCACACTCTGCCTTCTTGTTTCAGTTCTCATACTTGTAAACAAGTGTCCTTTTTTTTTTTTTTTT